TATAAACATAGCAGTTTCTCTGAAACTGCTATGTTTATAGAAAAAAAGGTTAACCCTAGCTGGACCAGGCACCCAGACCACCTCGTTAAGCTGAAGTTGTCTGGGTGCCTATAGTGGTCGTTTAACAGGAGGCACTTGCAGGATGTTTTTTTTAATTTTTATTTATTTGTTTAATTTGCATATTGTTGTGCATTATTTATATAATGCAATAAAATAAGATTCTGGTCACTGTTATCCTTCAATAAACAAAAACATGACTATTCTCAGAGGATCTGCTGATTTGTAGCTTAGCAACAGGTAGATATAAAAATATTGCATCTGAATACATGCAACAGGACACGGTGATCACTGAAAGTTCTGTATGTACCACTTCACCCACATATTAACATTTGCCAGCTTAGCATACCTTTGTCTTCCAGTTGCAAGGTACCCTGTCTTTTGAATACTTGGTCACGAATGGTCACCTCAGCCTCACACCTGTACGTTGTCCCTGCTGCCCATTTTTTCTTTGCAGGGATTTCCAAGCTCCACTTCACATTAAACAACTCCCCATTCTCCGTTATGTCTTCATTATCACTAGCACTCATCAATTTCTCTTGATCATGGTACCAGGTCAGTTTTACAGGTACATGTGGGTAAAGTCCATACATAGAACATCGCAGAGTGGGAGGCTGTTCTTTAGTGTGGGAGGTCACTTGTAGGGATTGTGGGAGTGCTGTAAGAGACAGACTATAATTAGCACTTCAGAGGAAGTTCTGCATTACTTTTATAGACAGATAGGGGCTGGACGGCAGATGATTGAAGGGCCCTTGGACTGTTACATCTGGAGAACAATTTGACATCTTGCCAGGGGGTTGCACATGGGGCTAGCACCATAACCACTATAGTGGGTTGTTGTGGTTGGTTAAAGTGCTTATAATGCCCCATCTGAATTTGATGGGGTAAGGCACAGCATTAGAATTAATGTGCCCAGCAGAAATAATGTTCTGCTAATATATGGATATTTGGACACCCTAGCCCTATCTCACCATGTAAGCTTTGTTGATAACACAAATAGGCATATATACCGTATACTTGCAGGTGCACTTTTCTTTGGAGAAGTCTCTTTCCTGGACACATCCCAACACAGATCCTGTAACCTCCCATGGAGATGCTTGCATTTTCGATGGTAAGTAAGCTGTAACCTATGCCCGAAACTAGTCCAGCCAGGTTTGTGTCAAGTCCCTTCCAGGTAGTAGAACCTCCATAGCAATTAATAGTGCAATTCAGTTGAACTGTGCCACCAACAGGCACAATGGGATCCTGAGGGAGCACATTAAAAGAAGTCTGGGCTGGAAAAAGAAAGAAAAGGTGTTTAACCTCATTAAGGACCAAACTTCTGGAATAAAAGGGAATCATGACATGTCACACATGTCATGTGTCCTTAAGGGGTTAAGGGATTACCTTGGTACAAAATCAAAATATGGTTTAGAATAATTAATTGTATATGATCCATTAGTGAATGTGCTTGTGTACAGACGGTGAACATACAGTAGGTACTAAAAATCAATGGGATAAAGGATGTGAAGGGGGTAAGGGCTGCAATCAGGGCTAGTAGCAGTAGTCTGTAACAATGGAAACCAGACCAAATGGTCTAAAAGGATAAACAACAAAAAGTAGGCCTATGTAGATAAAAAAAAAAAAAAGGTAGAGTAAAAAGTCTCACTTAAGACAACAGAATAAAATAGGGGTGAAATCCTCAGGAGTTGATCCGTCAGGATAATAAAATGTAAATGTCAATAAAAAGTCATATAAAAGTTTCACTGATATATCTTTGATTTTAGAATCTATTATTATTGTTGAAAATGTTTTTGATACAGGTTATTAGCCCAATTCAAATCAATTACCGTAGCTTAAGTCAACAAGAACTGTTCATCAAACTAGAAAAGTCCCTTACTACTTGTCACGTATTCATCCGCCTATAAAAATGTGATTAATGGAATTTACTGTTCAGACAGGAAAAGTTGTGCCGAGCAGCAATCAAATCCTCAGGAGGGTTTGTGCTGAGCAGCAGTTATGCAAATGGAAACCTGGTAACTGCCTTTGGGGTCAAAGGCCGATTACAGCCAATCAGATCCAGAGGAGGGGTATTTAGGCCCAGTTCTCATCCTGCTCCGTGCCCTGTCGTGATTTGCCTTGTGGTTGTCTGAGAGTGTGTTATTGATTCTGGTAATTCTGGTTATTTGACTTTGGCATTGTTTTTGACTTCCCTGTTTTCTGGCATCCCCAACCCCTGGCTTTTCCTTATTGTTGTGTCTCTTTCTGTATCCCTTGACCTCGGCTATTCCTTACTATTCTTTGGTACGTTAGTCCGGCCATTCTAAGGTCTGGTATACGTTACCGATCAGTCCTCTGTGTTACACAATTCTATGTGCTGGATCATACTGTAATCCTGACACTTCTGAGATAAAGCTAAAATGGGAAATAGCCACTGTAAAAATATATATATATATTGACGAACAAATTACTCCACTGAAACACATCCCTACAACCATCACCCACACTAATATCAAAACTATGCTACAAGGAAACCCCAATACTCACCACCTATCAAGCGATCACTCAGAGCCCAAACTAATCCTTACCCTGGTCCCTTGCACAAATCCCACCAACCCATTACCCACTCATATCACACACCGTCATACCACAATTGCAGGAGCACACATTCCCCACCACCCAACAAATATCTGTTGTCTGTCTGTTTTTCTTACTCTTCTTTTGTCAGGGTGTCGGTCTTTCGGTCAGTGTAAGAGAGCCTAAAAGTCTTTGCGTCCGGTTTAAGATCCAGTGTGTCCAGATTGTCATATATGTCTATGCTTTCACCTCTGCCATAAGTGAGAGCTCTTCCAGTGTTCGGAGTTCCTCCATGCTTTGGTACCTCAACATCAAGGGGGGTGCAGTCTGTTGTTTCCAGTAGAGAGGAATTAGAGTTTTGGCTACATTAAGTATCCTGATTGTTAGGGATTTTTTATATGTAGAGGTTTTTGTTCTGGTATGGTGGATGAGGAATGTTGCAGGGGTCATTGGTGGTGGGGTGTCTGAGAACCTTGTGATGATTGTGTGGATGGTCGCCCAGAATGGTTTAATTCTTGGGCAATCCCACCATTTGTGGAGGTATGTACCGGGGTCTTTTGTACATCTCCAGCATGCGGCGTCTGTCATGGGGTCGTAGATGTGTGTGTGTGTGTGTGTGTGGTATGGAGTGCGCTACCAGAGAGCTAGGATTTTGTACACTGTTTATTGCATCCTGCTCGACGGAGCACAGTGTAGCGTGAGGGTGCAAATTTTCTCCCATTGGGCCGGAGAGAATGTGGTGCCTAGGGCTACCTCCCATCTCCCCATGAAGCTCTGTGGCGGTAGTTTCCTCAACCGCAGTATCATACCATAGAGCGTGGAGAGGCCTTTTTCCATTGGGTCTGGATCCATGCAGACCTCATAGAATTCCGTTAGGGGTCTGGAGGTGTAGTTGTTCTGGAGGGTCGTCTGCGCAAATCCTTTTGTTGTTTGTATCTAAACCGCATCATGAACGATTGATCTTCGGTCTGTGCCAGGGCCTCTAGGGGTTTAATTTGGTCGTTGTCTGTTATGTGGCAGATCCGTGGTATAGTATGGCCCAGGAGCTGAGTCAGCGTCCCTGCTTCTACTCCCAGTGGGAAGGTCTCGTTATGTACTAAGGGGAGTAGCGGGGACAGTGTGGTGGTGAGTGAGTGCGGTGTGGCCATTGCATGCCATACTTGCATGGTTGCTTTTATGAGGGGGTGCTGGGCAGCCAGCCGTTTGTCTTTCTGATGGTCCAGCCAGGGGAGGGCCGAGATCGGCCTGCCCACTTGTGCTGACTCGATGTCTCTCCACGGCTT